TTACCTGGTGGGCGGGGCTAATGGTTTAACCTGTCACTGCAGAGCAGAAGACGACAGTGTTTGATTTTTAGACCTTTGTTCAAGAAGATGAGATCAGCAAGTATCGGCCGATCACCAATTTCACAAAATTAAGGAAACTGGCACTGATTAAGGAAATTGTGTTTTAAACCCATCCGAGAGTTTAAAGAGACTTCTACACTTGTCAGATTCTCACTTGTAAAAAAATCTAAACTAAAATGAAGAAAACCAGAAATTCGTTTTATAACTGTGAAATATTTCAGGTTGGTTTATCAAATAAAATGAGTGTGTACCAATATGAAAATTTGGGTCAATATTTAAATTAATATTGCTGTTACTGAAAAACATCCACAATCCTTTGGTGCATCACTATTATCATCACATTACCTTCAGATATAGTAATCAATAAGATGGAAAGAAACATTGGTTGCTAAAATCGGCCCAGTTTCATGTATCGCGGTGATGTTGATATTTTGTGCATCTCTAAGTAAACACATTGAAGTACCTTAGCGGGATACTCGTCTATGATCTTCAGCAGGTCCTGGCATCGCTGGATCAGAGGTTTGGTGGTGGCGTCTGCTTTGAGGTTTGCCTGAAACAACACGGTAACAAACATAAAAACAGGAAGAAAATTAGCACAACTATTTAAAGAATAAGAATATAGAAGTCCTTGTGAATCACCCAAAAACTCTTAAAAGGACATTTGTTGACAATCTCAAGGCAGAGGTTATCCCAGCATCTTATTACACCACAGTTCTTCCTTCCACTAAACTATCACAAGGTCCCTGTTACTTTTGCTGCTGATTAATGACTGCTTTGCTGGGAATCAGAGACAGTAACAGAGTCTTAGGTCATCATGGAGATGTTCAGCAGCTGAAACTTATGATCATATTCATTGAGTTTTAACTGGTGAATATCTATAAACAACAGCAAAGAGGCTTTTCTTATGCTGGAATCCAGAATCCTGTGAGCAATCAGCTGCTTTATGGGTAACTTTCAGTAGATTCAGTAAAGGAGTCTCTGCATGATGCTGTAGACCAAAACATAACCAAACACAGTATGTATCTCCCTTTTTTCATTTAATCAGTGACACGAATGAATTTTGCATGATATCCTAACTTAGCTGCAGCTGTTTGCTGATGTTAGATGCGACTCACCAGCAGGAAGCTGGGCTGCTGTAAGCTTTGGCTGCTCATGTTCCTCAGCTCCACCTGGAGCTGCAAAACAAACACAGGCAAGTTTTTATCCTGATGCTAACTGATCAGAAACATTTTCGTTAACTATTTTAATCGGTTCTGTAAGAAAGCAAACCGCACTGGAAACAAGGAGGAGTTATAAACTATTGAACTGCAGAGAGGGGGAGGCCGAACACCCTGAGTCAGCTAACGGTGGTTAGCTATAGCCGTTTAAACTGACAACAGCTGCTATAAGCTGGACGGAAGTTCATTATGAAACACCGGAGACTACCTGGAATAATTCAATCTGTTAATGGCGTCTTCCTCACCTCTGTCCACAAGAAAAAATTAAAGTTAGAGTGGGTAGAGTGGGCTTTACACGAACCGCGTTTCCATCAGTTCACCAGAAGCGGGTACCCTTCTTCTCCGTTAAGCTCACAGGAGCCGATTACATGCTGTAGGCCGCTCCCGCCATCTGCTGGAAGTACAGAGAATGACATTCTTCTTCTTTTGTATTTTATAGGTGGATAGCAACCTACTTAAGATGCATTTACCGCCACCTACCGGACTAGAGTGTGGTCATCAATGATATTCAGAGGGAATTTAATAAGACACACCTCAATGGTTTGTATGAGCGTGCAAATTCACACCCATACACACTCGTAAACACATGTATGTATACCAGTGATTCTTGAGAATAGGGACAAAACAGGTCCTATGGATAAAGCACCAAATTTGAATAAAATATACACAAAATATAA